AGGAAGGGTCAAGTCCTTGATGCCGGGCGCGCGTCAGACCCTTCTGGGCCTTGCGGTCGAGGGGGAGGGAGGGCGCGAGGAAGAGAGAGGAGGAGGGATGGAAGAAGGAGGGAGGAGGAAGGCACTGTCGGAGGGAGTGGCGGAGGGAGCGTGGATGGAGCAAAGCTGGGGGGCAAAGGGGTCGGAGACGGGGCGGATGGGAAGGAATGGAGGGAGGGCGGGAGGGAGGGAGGGAAAAGGGAAGAGAGAGGCATTGGCGGAGAGAAGGGTGGAGGGAGCGAGGAGGGAGGCCAGAGGGGTCGGCGAGGGAGGAGGCAGTGAGGAGGATAGAGCAGGGTGGAAAGAGGCAGTGGCCGTGCTCAGAGGGCAACGAGGTAGAGGGGTGGATGGGGGTGGAGAAGGGCAGAGGGGTGGGGGCAGCGGAGGTAGAGGAGAGGCAGAAGGAGGAGGAGGAGGAGAAGGCAGAAGGAGGAGGAGGGAGGAAGGGAACGGCCGCCTCGAAGTTCGGAGATCGCCTTGGAGAGTAGCCCAGAGGATCCTCATCCTCCTCCTCATCCTCCTCTTCCTCCTCCTCATCATCAGCAGCAGCAGTATCATCGTCATCATCATCAGCAGTAGCAGCATCAGCATCGTGAGCATCATCATCCTCATCCGCATCCTCATCCTTATCATCACAATCAGCATCATCATCAACACCAGCATAATCAGCAGCAGCATCATCAGCATTATCATTGTCGTCATCGTCATCCTTATCGTCATCACCATCACCACCAACACCATCATCATCATCATCATCATCATCATCATCATCATCATCATCATCATCTGCAGCAGCATCGTCATCCTCGTCGTCGTCGTCATCACCATCATCAGCAGCAGCATCATTATCATCACCCTTGAGATCATAAGCATCATCAGCATCACCATCTGCATCATCCTCATCACCACATCCACCATCATCATCAGCAGCAGCAACATCAACCTACTCATCAGCATCAGTATTACCATTATCAGCATGATCACCATCAGCGTCAACAGCATCATCATCAGCAGCAGCATCACCATCATGCAAGTATTCCTCGAAACCACGTCATCATAGCCAAGTCCCTCATCATCATCATCAGCATCATCAGAATCATCATCATCATCATCATCATCATCAGCATCATCATCATCAGCAGCATCATCCTTTTCCTCGTCCCTCTCCTCCTCCTCCTCCTCCTCCTCCTCCTCCTCCTCCTCCTCCTCCTCCTCCTCCTCCTCCTCCTCCTATTCCTCCTCCTCCCTCCCTCCGTCCCTCCCTCCCTCCCCCGCATCCCCCCATCCCTCCCTTCCTCCCTCCTCCCTCCTCCCGCTCTCCCTAACTCCTTAATATTATGATTATTAAACCCTGAACATCCTGGCTCTATGCGTTCCAACCGTGATCCGAACTTCTGAACACATAATCCATTGCAAAAATAAAACATGTCCTGGCAACCCTGGATGAAAACCCTCGCCATCCCTTTGCAAAAAAAAATGTCCTGATCATGCGCGCATAATCCATTGCGAAGTACAATACAAATGCGCGTCCGCGGACGTAAACCTTCGCCATCCCTTGCAAAAAATAATATTGTCTGATCATGCGTGCATGCACCTGTGAGACTTTCCTTGTCAAGTGCGCCGCTGTCGCAGAATCCTGTGTTTTACCATATGAATTGCATGATGTTTCAGGCGCTCACAACGCTCCCAGGCGCTCCCAAGCGCTCCAGGCGCTCCCAGGCGCTCCCAAGCGCTCCCAGGCGCTTCCAGGCGTTCCAGGCGCCCCCAAGCGCTCCCAGCGCTCCCAGACGTTCCCATGCGCCCCCAAGCGCTCCCATTCGTTGTACTTACAACGAGGGGAGAGATGCTCTTTATGGTAGGGTGGCTTGCGGGTGGGACTGGCAGCCACCGCAGGTGGGCTCCTAGGCAAGAGGGGATCAGCTGCGGCAGAGCTTGTAGACCGTAACCCTAAACCCCAGACCCTCCCTCCCTCCCTCCCTCGCCCCCCCCCTCTGCCTCCCTCCGCTCCCCCCAGTCCCTCCAGGCAGGCCTGGGTCGCGGCCTCGCGGGAAGGCAGGGGCCCCCCGGGGGGGGCCGCCGCCCAGGGCCTCGAGGCCCACTCCTCCTCCTCCTTCTCCTCCTCCTCCTCCTCCTCCTCCTCCTCCTCCTCCTCCCCCTCCTCCTCCTCCGCCTCCTCCTCCCCCTCCTCCTTTTTCCTCTTCCTCCTCCTCTGCCCCTCCTCCTCCTCTCCACCTCCCCCTCCGCCCTCTCCTCCTACCTCCTCCTCCTCCTCCTCCTCCTCCTCCTCCTCCTCCTCTTTCCTCCTCCTCCTTCCTCCTCCTTCCTCCTCCTCCTCCTCCTCCTCCTCCTCCTCCTCCTCCTCCTCCTCCATCCTCCTATCTCCTCCGCCTCTCCTCCTCCTCCTCCGCCTCCTCCTCCCATCCGCCTCCTCCCCCTCCTCCTCATCCTCCCCTCCTCCTCCTCCTCCTCCTCCTCCTCCTCCTCCTCCTTCTCCTCTGTCAGGCGCGACTACGACGCGCCCGACAGCCCTGCACTCAGGATTTCCAAGGCCAAAAAATGTAAAACACGATGTGCTGTTTAACCGAACCTGCAGGGTGGGCCCTTTCCCAAATCCGTGCTTCGGTGCGGATCGTAAGCGCGCCTCGTCGTCGTCGTCGTCGTCGGCGTCGTCGTGGTCGTGGTGCGTGCTGCTCTGCTCGGGATTCTGTTTCCCTTCTGCAGTGACCACCCACTTGGCTTGCCAGGCATTGCACGCCGCCTGGTTGTCCATCCGTCCGTCTGTCTGTCTGTCTTCCCGGCTCTCTGAGCCGCGGCGCTTTGAGCTTCTTAGTTCGGGGACGCGTCGGCCACCGCCGCCCTCTCCCTTGTCGGTGGCCCTGACGAGGTTGGGGGAGAGGGTGCCGAAACGCGCCCAGAGTCCAGCAAGGCATGAGGGTGCAAACCCGACTTGTCTGGCTGATGCTCTGGGGGGGCTGTGCTCAGGGGAGGCTGCAGCACCGCTCAACGATGTGCTGTTTAAGCGAACCTGCAGGGTGGGCCCTTTCCCAAATCCTCGTAAGCGCGCCTCGTCTCCGTCGTCGTCGTCGTCGGCGTCGTCGTGGTCGTGGTGCGTGTTGCTCTGCTCGGGATTCGGTTTCCCTTATGCAGTGACCACCACCCTCCTCCTCCTCCTCCTCCTCCTCCTCCTCCTCCTCCTCCTCCTCCTCCTCCTCGTCCTCCTCCTCCTCCTCCTCCTCCTCCTCCTCCTCCTCCTCCTCCTCCTCCTCCTCCTCCTCCTCCTCCCCCAGCAACGCTAGGGGGGGGATAGGCGCCGAGGTGGGACGCATCGAAATCGATGGCCCACTCAGAGCCGATAGAGGCCCGAAATCCAATCGCCCACCCTGCCCAGGAACGTGCAGGCCCGCTATCGGGGGCCCTGTCGCCGACCACCCCCGCGATGTACGTCGCCGATGCTGCGCCGATGTGCCCCAACTCGGCCAGTCACCCCCCCAAGACATCCCCCTCAAGACATCCTCCCTGAATGCGTTCCCCCTCGAGACATCCCCTCGGCGCTCGCCCAATCAGGCTCTGGTTTCTCGTCGAGCGCTCTTTGACCATCTCTGACCGCCGCGCCAGACTTGTTTTTTACATCTTTTGGCCTTGGAAATCCTGAGTGCAGGGCTGTCGGGCGCGTCGTAGTCACGCCGGACAGAGGAGAAGGAGGAGGAGGAGGAGAAGGAGGAGGAGGAGGTGGTGGTGGTGGAGGAGGAGGAGGGAGAAGAGGAACAGGAGCAAAGAGAGAGCATCGCTGCCCCTCGCCCGCAGAGAACAGGACGGGGCGAGAGATCCGCACGGACGCCTGGAGGCTCAGAGCCGTCGGAGGCCGCTGGGCGCGTCTCGCGCGAGGGTCTCGGCGGCCGCTTCGTGGCAGGCGCGTGTTTCGACGGAGAGAGTTGCCGTGCAGCTAGTGGCGCTCAGCCGTCGGATCGCGCGCGTCCCCGACATCCCAGCGCCGCATTTTTTCACAGCGGGCGATTTCGCCTTATTTCGGGCCCCCGGACCCTCGCGGATCGATCAAGCTCCAAAGAGGCCGCAGAAAGATGGGGCCAGGGGCTCCTGCCGAGGTTCTCCTACGATGTTGCATGCATGTCCGTGACGCCGGATCTCTGGGGTGCGCGCGAGGGCGCGACAGTTCTGCACGCGTTGCCACACAGAGCGGTCAGTCTGCTCAGAGGGTGACCCCTCTTCGCCGCACCAGAAAGAAGTTGGCCTCACCGCCGCGTCGGGGGAAGCAGCGTCAACGCGCGCGGGCGCCAGCCGCAAGTCAGCAGGTCGCTCGCGGGGTGCGAATGTCAGGCGATCGCAAACATGGATCAAGGGAGCGTGGATCAGCGACGGGTCCCGTTTCCATGGGAAATCGAGGATTTCCGCCGCCGAGCGAGGCGGCACCCGCCGCATTTTGGGGAGGGCACCTCCCCCGATCCATGGATTTGGCGACTGCGCGCCACATCCATGGATCGCCAAGCCATGCTTAGGCGCCCCCGAGACGTGCTGGCGAAGGTGGCGCGTGAGAGTCTTTCCAGAGGGGCTATACCCTGCTGGTCGCGGCCACGCGCAGGCACGACTGGGAGCGCAAATCGAGGGAGCGCTGGCCGATATGGCGTCCGACCTTCCTCATGTTGGGGATGCTGTGATCGGCGCGCTGGGGAAACGCACTCCAGATTTCGTAATAAAGGGAGGGGGGTCTCATTTCGGGGGGGGTCTCTTCCAGGCTATCTTGGAGGGCCTGGGGGGTCTGGGGACGATGTTTTGGAGGGTTCTCCCTATTATTACGAAATCTGGAGTATCGATTTCGGTCAGATATGGGGCCCCAGAGCGCACCAAACCCTCGTGTCCTTTGCCATCGTCTTTCGCGAACAGCGTCGACGTCGAGAGTTCAGGCCCGCGCGCAAAATGGGCTCAGCACGGCCGGAACTGGTCAGGTGATGGTGGCTGTGCACGAGCTGGGGCACAATTTGGGCCTGGGCCACGCGGCCAGCCGGTCGCTGGAGTACGGCAACGTGTTTGACTGGATAGTTGCGGGCTGGGGATGATGGGCAGCGAAAGCAGGAAATAGAGGGCGACTGGACAAGCGGAAAGAACAGTCAGGGGGGGAAGGCCCAGGAGGGAGGAAGCGAGGCTGGAGGATGCCCAGTAGGCTACTCGCGAACAGTGTAAGTCACTATTATGTTTCTCACCATTATTGTACGTTGGCTCGACCGGCCCTTCGAAATTCATAGATTCCCCTTGTGTGCGCCCGTTGTCTCTGGAAGAATCGTCGTGCACACCCGAGACCGACTAAGCGCAAGTGTCAACAGACAAATGCATGTGTTTCAGAGTGCATATGTCGCCGCGCGACGCGCCGCCTTGCGTCTTGGGGAGGGCGCCTCGGCCACCAGGGTAAACGCCGCCTCGGGCGCGGTGTGTTTGCCGTGGGTTTGCCGCGGAGCTTGCTCGTCTACGTGGAGCGAGGGACGCAGGGTTTGCAGTGGACTTGCCGTGGTGTCGGCGTCATCCGCTTGGGCGCGTCGAGAACCAACGGCGTTGCGACATGTGTACATCGCAGTGTTCATCTGTTTTGTGTCAACTGGCGTAGCAACAAGTAGATTTGCCGTGCATGCCGGATGTTCTGGATTCTAGAGCGCAGTGTAGCACCTTCGGCGGGGCCGGCACATGCGAGCACCCTCTGTCAACGCCGATATGTTCCATATTGCCAGTACGCGCGCTCAAAGCACAGTAATCGGTCTGGTACCCAAAACGCACGCTTGAATTGCAAACGTAAGAAGTTGATCGACGGGCAGTATGAGAGTTTGTTTTGCGATTGGCTGAGTATATGCTCTGTTACTGGGCTATATTACAGCATCATCTGCGCAACGGGTGTTAATACCTTTCATGTCCGCGTGCTTGTGCAGTAAGACACCGACGGCAACGACGACGACGACAATCCACAAATGCGCAACGTTTTTGTCAATTAGTCCGTGATGGTCGCGGGAATCTTGGCTCCGGAGAACGCGCGGCATGTCAAGATGCGATGCGCCATTGTGCACACCAGTTGGGGTCGAAAAATATCGGACGACTGGGGAGCCCCATGGTCGATGTTTTGTCACAACCGTCATCACTGCTGATTACATTGCACCCCCACCGACGGCCGTGTAGCGGCTTCCCAGTGCCACCTAGCGAAAAAAACTTTCAGCTTCAGCCAGCGATTTTGCTAGCCCAGCCCTTGCAGAATTGTGGATCCGCGGGTGAACAGAATTTCCAGACGAAGATTTCATGGTGTAGGTGGCATACTGAATCATTGTCTTTATCCTGCCCGAAAGGTGGTTGTACACCGATCGAAGGTGGATGTGCGAGAAATAAGTGATTTCTGAATAAAACGCGCTTCAGGACCCACGTCGCAGTCGCAGTACTCAATGGGGCGTTTGCATGGGCGGCGATTGAAAACCATAACTTTCAGAGGCGGTACACGGGCATACAAGAAGGTCGAGCAAGATGATGACCGTCCGCCACCGATCCCAAAACACATGTGCTCGATAGCCTGGAATGGCTTCGCTAGGCTCAGGCGGTAGGATGGTCAGATGGGCTCGCATGTGTTCTCTTCCTGTCCGTCGTGTTCCGTCTGAGTGATATGTGTCCAACATATGGTAGTGGAAGGTTCGACGATGGTGATGTGCAGGGCTTCGAGGCACCTCCACGTCTTATGTTAAAGGGCATGGCGATTTAAAACGAGTGCGCCATCAGTTGTTATCATTGTGTCTTGTCCATCGTCCTCCTCAGCTTACCCGTCCACCACCAGATGGCAGTCCTATTTGCATCAGCCTTGCTTAACTTCAGTCACAGCAGTTCTTGTTGTATCAAAGGATGGGCAACTACCCGGGCCTCGCCAGCCTGTCCTTCAGCGTGGGTTACAGGCATGCTATCCATTGCTCGCGGTTGCGATTGTGAATGTCAGAGACAGCGTGTAATTTCTTTCGATAAGTATGCGTTGCATTGCTAATACTTAAGCGCGATGCGTACTTCATCCACAAGCACGATCGATTGCGTTGATTGGTCGGTGGTGGTGGGGGTGGAATTTCCATTCGGCATCTGCGTCAGCTTGGAGTTCATGTTATTGCGCATATCGCTTAGTGATCTCGATATTGGTCTCGTGTTCGGCGCCGCTCGCTCTCGCTGCATCGCTGCTGATTGCCAAACCCTTCCAGATTCCCCAGCCGCTTGAAATTCCGACCACGCCAGCAGAAGGTGGGGGGCAGAAGCAAATGTGAGCATGCACACGAAATCGTCGCACAAAAAGCCCCAAACCACACAGGAAGTTACAGAGAAATTCAAACAGTGTATGACCATGCTCTTCTTCATGTTTGTTGAACAGTGCTTCGAAGACTAGCCCCCCCGCCCCACCGAGCTGAGCTCTCTGTTTGCAGGGAAGCCCTGCTTTAAAGCAGAATTCCACACATCATTCGACGCATCAGCAATTAAAGTCGCGACTTCAGTATTGATCACTAGATCACTGGTGTTGGACAATTGCCAGTTTTGAAAGTACGCTTGCAGCCCACATTCGAGTTGGCAGAAGCGAGGACAGCCGGCATCAAGGCTCCCGCGTCAGGCACCCTTCACTTATCGTCTTTGGCTGAAAGTGTGCATTATTCGATGCTTTCGATATCCATATATATATAGGCGCCGTCATATTTCAAGAGTCGAGCTGTTTCCCGTTGTCCATTATTTTTCAGTCGGTGGGGTGAAACAAAATGTACGTTCAAACCTTGCTACAGTCAGTTGACTACTGTTGGTTGTGAACTTCCCATGAGCATATTTAATCAGTGAGCCATACTGGAGCCCAGAGTGAGCCACAAGAGAGCCATCTCGTGCGATGCCGACCGACGACGACAACCGACGGGCCGACGGACCGACGACAATCGACCGACCGACAGGCCGACGGATCGAGCGAACGACCGACAACGAGGACGACAACCGACGACGACGACGACGACCGACCGACCGTCCGACCGAGAGGACGACGACCGACGACGACGACGACCGACGGACCGGCCGACCGACCGACGCACCGACCGCACGCACCTGAGCGCGGGCACACGGACCCCGTGCGGGAGCGAGGTGTGCACACAACGACAGGAGCACCGCCCCCCGGGCCCGACACCTCCCCGTTTCCATCCCCCCGCCCCGTGTCGTCGTCCAGCCCCTCCTCATTTCCATCCATCCCGCCTCCCCTCTCCATCCCCGCGACACCTCCCCTGTCCATCCCCCCCTTCCATCCCCCCGCCCCTCCCATGTCCATCCCCCCGCCCCATCTCGTCCAGGTGCCTGCGGCAAACCCCGCCGCCGTGCCTGTGCCACACCGCAGCAGGGGGAGGAGGCGGAGCGCAGGATCAGCGCATGTCCGAGGACTGGTCAGAGCCGCGACGGGCCGTGGGCTCGACCTCGCCTTCGTTCGCGCGGCAGGGGGGGAGGTCGAGTTCACGCCCCGCTGCAGTTCAGCGAGCGGTCTGAACTGAGGCGGGTCGTGAATTCGACATCATCTTCGTCCGCGCGCTTGGGATGAGGAGGAGAAGAAGACAGTGAAGACAAGGAGGAGGAGGAGGAGGAGGAGGCTTCCTAGGCCCTCTTTGGGCACTCTTGGACCCTCTTGGAGGCCTCTTGGAGCCTCTTGGGGGCCTCTTGTGGCCCCTTGGGCCGTCTTACTGTAGGGGGCTCTTGGCCCGTCTGACGCCTTCGAAAGCCGTCTGGGGGGCCTTTGGGCCGTATGGGTGCCCTCTTGGAGCGCTTTACGGCCGTCTTGGGGCCCTGTTGGGAGGTTCTTGGGCGATGTTGCAGTCCCATTGGGCCAACTAGGAGACTTTTTGGGCGTCTTTTGGACCGTCTTGGAGCTAGCTTGGAGGCCTCATGGACGGTCAGACACCCGAACAGGTGAGAAAGTCAAAATATTTCAAACCCACAGCGAAAATCCATGCGCGTTGGATATGGAGCTTTCCTGGAGGGCCCCTCGGAGCCTGCGTCGGCCGTCTTGGAAGTTTCTCGAGCCGTCGTGGGAGTTTCTTGAGTTGTGTTGAGCCACCTGAAGCCGTCGTGGTGTCTTACTGGCTGCTTTGGAGGCCATCTTGGCTGAAGGCCGAAAAGAGCGCTGGAGAGCAGATCAGAAAGGCTGATGTTTGAACAACGCGCGCGAGGCGGTTCGGGCTGGCCCTAAAAAGTATTAACAAACATTCCAGGAGAGCATTATCACACGCCCACTCCGTGCAGGCACGATAGCAGATAGATTTAAAGCCTTGAGCGGGGCTCGGCTCCAGCCTTCAGTTCTGACGAAGGAAAGTGATCAAGCTGCCCATGGAAGTAAGAGTGCGCTCCAGATTTTATGGTTACGATGGAAAACGTACGAGCCGCCCACGGTGTGGATTCCAGTTTGCAGCTGTTACGAGGGAAAGTGGCCTAGCCGTTCGTGCCGACAGGACGAGGCGTTTTCCAGTGCTTCAATATTTCGGGGGGAAGTGCTCCAGCTACCTACGGTGTGGGTCCCAGACCAGCCTCTCGCTGATTGGCAAATCCTGATTGGCTGATTGGCAAATCCTTATTGGCAAAATTCTGACTGCCTTATTGGCAAAATGCTCCAGACGCTGATTGGCAGCAAAGTCTTATTGGAGTGGGTGGTTCACGCCATGCCGCCGACCCCCGACAATGAGTGAGTGTGTTGAGGCGATCGTGGGAGTTACACTCTTGGATAAGTATGACAGTCTCTCGAGATGCCTCCCTGGGGCAACTTGCAATATCTTGGGGGCATGTGGGAGGCTTTGGGGGGACCTCGTGGAGGCCTCTGGGGGGCGTCGTGGAAGCGCCTTGGATGCCTCCTGGGGCCTCTTGGAGGACCCTCGGGGGCCTCTGGGGGGGTCGAGGGGCCATCTCGGTGGGAAAGGCTCGAAATGTCAGTTCGTACTCCCACTCTTGGGCTCGCTTGGAGCCCTCTTGGGGCCATCCAGGCGCTGCCTTGGGCCGTCTTGGGGAGCCCCTGGGGCTGTCTTTGGGCTGTCTTGGAGCCTTCTTGGAGGCATCATGCGCCGTCTTGGGACGATTTTGTGGGCCACTTGGGCCGTCGTGTTCGCTGCCAAAGCGCAAAATGCGAATATGCTGAAAATGCTCGCTTTCCCTCAGGAATGGGATGATTTAGACCTCTTGGGGCCCACTCGGCGATCCTCTGGAGTCGTTTTTAGGCTGTCTTGGGGGCCTCGTGGGCCATCTTGAAGCCATCTTAGATCGCCAAGGGGCTACCCTAGGCCGTCATGGCGCTCTCTTCGACTGTCTTGGCGCTCTGTCTGGGCCCTGTTAGGTTGCCTTGGGGCTTCTTGGGAGCTCCAGAAGCCTCGGGGATGCGTTGACGAGCTCGCCCCCCCTCCCCCTACAATGGCATTTTGAACCCCAGGGGAGGGGGAAAGCGGGAGGGGGAAAGCCAAATGTTTCACACCCCTTTTCACCCCCGGCAAGAGGGGGCCGGCGGATTAGGAAAGTATTCCACTGATTGTCCTTCGTATCACTACGCATTTACTTCGAACGACTGGCACTCACGGCGCATTTACTTAGTCCGACACGCCGTTTTGTTAACATTGAGTTCTCATGCCTGCGTTTGTTGTTACTCTCCCGTGCACCTCTTCTTGCCTCCACGAACAGGCAAAGACTCAGATGGCTTCCGACTGACGCGGTTGCTCAGATCACCGACAAGGACACAACAGTGGTTGGGCAAGGAGGAGGCGATGGATGTAGCGCGCGGGGCAGTCGGTCCTCCCCTCCCCTGATTCCTCTGGGATCTCAGGAGACATCAAGGGACCACTGGAGACCTCTTGGGACCTATGGGTCGAGCGCCCAGAGCAGATCCGGAAGGAGGAGGAGGAGGAAGCGACCGGTGGCACACGGTGCAGCTGCTCTGAGCGGTGCGGCAGGCTTTGCGTGTCCTCCCGAGTTTCTTCTCGCTTGGCCGGGACCTTAAAGCAACGGCCAGCCGCCGTAGAACGATCCATTGTGCGTTTTGGGGCTGCTTTGCCGTATTTGCGCGGGCTTTGCCACTCTCCAGCGACGAGGCTTGGGGGCGGCCGCCTCCCTCTGGGTACTGCGTCCACCTCAGACCACGTATGGCCGACGATGTTCGGACGGACAGATAGAATTAACTATATGTGTCCGCAGTGTTGACGGGAGGCCTCTGGCGTAGCGTCTCTCTTAGTAGCGTCCCGTCTAGAGCATCAGACCAAGCTTGATAAGTGTTTAAATGATACGCTAGCGATGCCTCTCTCGACGCTTGTCGCATTCAGGTTCACTTTGTTTTGCTTCCGAACTATATGTTGCCTGGAATGCGAGATACGCAGCGACGACGCGAAGAGTGCGCATGCTCAGAAGGTCGCGTGGGAGCGTTGCACGGGTGCGGGCGCGCTATGGACGACCACGCGTGGACCACGTACATATGGTACGCCCTCCATCTCGCCCATTCCCTTTCATCATCTTCATCCTGGTGCCCTCCTCCTCCTTTCCCCCCCTCCCCCTTCTGCGCAGTGCTGGCGGATAGGCACGGGCATGGCAGGCGATCCAGAATCAGTGGTGCTCGAATGGCGCGCGAACGCCAGCGTCTGCTTTGCACCGAGGCGTGCGGTGGACGTCTGACCTTCTCGTGTGCAGATCGGGCGCGGGGGGATCCAGTAGAGGGCAAGAGTAAGATCAGGAGGGAGAAGAACACACACACACACAGGCACAAACGATCGTCGATGCCCAGGAAAAGATGGAACATATGAGAAGCGGAGGGAAAGACGAACATCCAGGAAACATGGAACATGTGGGGAATTCTGGGATTCGTGTGTCTATTTATGTGTGCCGCTGGGCCCCTTTCACAAGAGCAGGAGCAGAACACGCGGACGGCTCGACGATGGTCACCAGAGTGTCCTGACAAGCAGCCCTGACAGGAGAAGGAGGAGCAGCAGAGCAGCAGCAGCAGCAGCAGCATGGACGGCAGGAGCAAGCAGGAGGAGGAGGACGACGACGAGGAGGAGAGGAGGAGGACGACGATTGGGGCAGGAGGAAGAAGAAGGGAGGAGGAAGAGGGGAGGAGGAGGAGGAGGAGGAGGAGGAGGAGGAGGAGGAGGAGGAGGAGGAGGAGGAGGAGGAGGGGAGGCGGGCCGAGGCCGCGCCGCCGGGGACGGCGCAACCGCTGCCGCCGCGGAGGAGCGCAAGCACGCACGCTACCCAGGCCCAGCGCTGACGGCTTTTGCGCTGGAGACCCTCGGGCGCGCCGGGAAGGAGGCACAGGCGCTCCTCCGCACCTGGGCGCGGGCAGACGCCGAGGTGCTGGCGGCGGCGCGCCAGAGCCTCGCCGCGACGCTACAGCGGGCGGGGCAACGCGGAGGCTTTCCGCTCCGCGTGCTTCGCCGCGCGAGGGGCGGTGCGCCGCCGGGGCGAAGGCGGCGAGCTGGCGGCGCGCCGCGCGCGCGCTAGCGAAGCGCGCGCCCTGCGGCGCAGCCGCGCGGGCGCCGAGCGAGGCGGCTTGCCGCTGAGGCGCGCGCAGGGCGGCGGCCTGGGCGGCGGCGGACGGCGGCGTCGAAGGCCAGCGGCGGAGGCAGCGGCGGAGGCGCGGGCGGCGGCGCCGGGCCGCTGGGCAGCCGGAGGCGCTCGTGCCGCGGGCGGCAGCAGGCGGGCGCTGGGCGGGCACGGCGGCCGGCGGCCGGGGCGGCGACGCGGCAGGCGCGTGGCCGGGCGCGGGGCCCGCGGGCTGCCGAGAGGAGGAGGAGGAGAAGGAAGAGGAGGAGGAGGAGGAGGAGGAGGAGGAGGAGGAGGAGGGAGAGGCGGCGGGCGCCGCGCGGCTGCCGGGCAAGGTCGCCAGGCGGAGCCGGCGGGGCGGCGGCAACGGCTACTGGCACCTCGCGGCTGGCGCCTGGCGGTGGGACCGCGGCGCCTGGCGGTGGGACGGCATGGTGGTGCTCGCCTATGCGGTCCCGGGCACGCGAGGCATAGGCCCCGGCTGGCGCATCCCTTCCTCCTCGGGGGCGGCTCGCCGCCGGGCGGTGGGCCGCGCCTGGGTGGGGGGGGGTGCGCCAGCTCCCGACTATTGTGCTCCGGCCGCGCGGGAGACCCGCGCGCGCCACAAGAGGAGTAGGAGGAGGAGGAAGAGGAGAAAGAGGAGGAGATGGAGGAGGAGGAGGAGGAGGAAGAGCATGAGGAGGAGGAGCAGGGGAGGAGGAGCAGGAGCAGAGCAGAGGCAGGAGGAGGAGGAGGAGGAGGACGACGACGACGACGAGGGGGGAAGGATGACGACGAGGGGAAGAGGAAGACGGGAGGGAGGATGCGGAGGAGGAAGAGGAGGAGGAGCAGCAGCAGCAGGAGCTGCAGGAGAGGGAGGACGACGAGGAGGAGGAGACGCGGTGCGGGCCGTGAGGACCTCGCTGATCTGAACAATGAATACCACCTGAAGCCGTTCGATCGCGGCGGGGCGCCCCGCGTCGGAGACCTGGTGGGCAGCCAGTAGGGCTTGGCCTCTATGTTCCGGAGGCGTAGAAATTACGGTTCCACCCATCATACGCAGGCCAAACATCGAAGTGTTGTCATATGTTGGCTTGATGTCGATCAGGTTCTTAGTTCGCAAGTCGAATCGAGCGCACCGAGACCCAGTCCATGATGAAACAAATATCGGGAAGTATCGTTTACCTTAATGTGTATTGTATGTGCGAGATGTGTCCATCCGTACTTACCGAGTCGCTACTACTCACGGGCAAAAGTGTATCGGGGTGTGTGTTTTGATTGCCATTCCGTGCATAATTTGCAATGTTTAGCCAAAGTGTTCCTCCGAAGGAGGAGGAGGAGAAGGAGGAGGAGGAGGAGGAGGAGGAGGGAGGAGGTGATGGAGGAGAAGATGGAGGAGGAGGAGGACCACAGAGTTCTTTCCCAGCGCGCCCTCCTAGCCGAGAGGCTTCACAAGGAGGCCGTAGGATCCACATCCGGCTGACGGACCAGAAGAGAGACCTCTACGTTTCCTACCGTGGTGGAGAGGCCGCCGAGGAGCCTCACCCCGTCCCCCTGCGTCACACTCATGGTAAGAAGCATCAGCGGAAGCATCCGTGGAATCGTCCTCACCATTACCCTCGTCATTCCCATCCTCTTTTCCGTTCCTCGTTTGTCATCTATTCTCTTTCTCCCTCGTGCTCCATTCTTCTCCCAGCTTCAACCCTCCTCCCTCGTCCTCCTTCATCAGCATCATCAGCAGCATCATCGTCGTCATCATCGTCATCATCAACATCAATATGATCATAATCAGCAGCGGCATCATCAGATTCGTCATCACTATCTGTCACAGGCATCATCAACATCACCGCAACCAATCATCAGCATCGTCATCGTCATCATCATTAGCAACAACATCATAGCAGCAGCAGCAGCATCATCATCTGCATCCTCGTCGTCATCGTCATCGGCATCATCAGCATCCGCATCATCATCGTCGTCAGCATCACGTCATCATCATCATAATCAGCATCACCAGCATTAACATCAGCAGCAGCCGCAGAATCAGCATCATCATCATCATCCTCATCATCAGCAGCAGCATCATCATCATCATCAGCATCATCAGCATAATCATCATCAGCAGCAGCAGCATCGTCATCCCTCCTCCTCCTCCTCCTCCTCCTCCTCCTCCTTCTCCTCCTCCTCGTCCTCCTCCTCCTCCTCCTCCTCCTCCTCCTCCTCTTCTTCCCTCCTCCTCCTCCTCCCTCCTCCACCCCCTCCGTCCCCCCCAATCCCTCCTTCGGTCGGCCACGCCTCCCCGCCTCCTCGCCACCCACCCACCCTCGACCCCTGGCCGCCCACAGCCGCTGCCTGCGGGCGACGGCCCCTGCGGGCGACAGGCCGCACCACCCTCTGCCCCAGCGCCCCCCCCCCCCGCTCCCCATGCCGTGCTCCACCACACATCGCGCAATTGCCCTCGCGCGATCACTGCCCCGCTCGGCATCCGACTGCGCGAGCAGAGGGGGCTCGGATGGGAGCGGGCAGGACGTCAGATACGACGCGAGCGCACCTCGATTGCCCCCTCCCCCACTGTCTGCCTCTCCCTCGGCTCCGTGCCGGCCCCCAGGGGGGGGGTCCTGCGGCGCGGAGCGCGGCCCGCCCCCAGAGCCGCCCGGAGAGCCCTGCCGCTCTCGAGGCGAGGGCCCCGCCGCTCTCTCTCCCTCTCCCTGCCTCTCGTGGGCACCTGGCGGGCCCACCGCGCCCCGCCCCGCCGCCGCCCCGCGGAGCCCTCTGCGGCGCCGAGGCGGGGGCGGCGAGCCCTCGCCGCGTGCTCTCTCTCTCTCTCTCTCTCTCGGCCCTGCCCCTGGGGGGCGGGCCGCGGGCCGACGGGCATGGCCGCGGGAGGGCCCGCCGACCGCCTCGCGCCGGGGGGGGCGCCTCCCGAGGGCCCTGGGCTGGGGACCCCACGAGAGTGGCGGGGCAGGGCATGGGCTCTGCACGGGCCGCGTGCCAAGGCGCGGGTTCCAGAACGGGCTCCAGGCTGCTTGGCCGGCGTGGCCTTGTGGGAAAGGCCGAGCGCCCCCTCCTCCTCCTCCTCCTCCTCCTCCTCCTCCTCCTCCTCCTCCTCCTCCTCCTCCTCCTCCTCCTCCTCCGCACTTCAGGCGAGGGCCCCATGTTGAGAAGGAGCTGACGGCCATGCGTCTGGCGCTGAGGACTGTGACGAAGCAGGATCAGACGTGTCCAGGAAGTGTCCAGCGCGAGCCCCGCCGCTTCGGCTGACGCCGCCGCCCCTCTTGGCGGAGCCCTGAAAGCAAAAGAGAAGGGGGCGGGGGAACCACACCTTAGGTGGAATGAAGCGGGATGCCGCTGTCTTCCCACACTGGAGGCGACGTCACAGTTCTGGATAACGATATAGTAATATTGTCTGCGCATGGCTTACATCGTCCCCCGTGGTTCTCACGATGGCGTTCCACGATTGACCATGATCTGACACCGTTGACCATGTGTCTTCATCCACATGTTCTGCCACGATGGTCCACCAACGCCAGTCAATCCTTTCGGACAAAAACCATGAACGTGAGCGAATCCTCAGGGCTCAGACATTTGATCCTACGAGATCCCGCGGCAGTAGAGGAGGAGCGGTGGAAGGAGGGGGAGGAGGAGGAGCAGGAGGAGGAGGAGGACGAGGAGGAGGAGGAGGAGGAAGAGAAGGAGGGTGAGGAGACCGTGACGCTGGATCCACGGCGCCCAGGAGGATTCATTGCCTTCAGCCCGATTCCTTTCGGGTCTTCGTTGGGGAAGGGAGAGGGAAGGAGGAGAGGAAGCGAAGGGGATGGGAGCAGAGGGGAACGAGAAGGACATGGAGGGAGGAGGAGGAAAAAGGCTCGACCACGCGAGTGCTAGCTGGCAGAGAAGGAAATCAAGGCGCGTCGCGGCAGCGAGCCCACAGGCTGGGATCTACCTCACGTGGCAGGACAAGGAGAAGTTGAGCACCGAGCTCGTGGACGCGGCGTGCCACAGCCCATCTCAGGCGATGGTGCAATTGATGCAAACCTAGAGAGCCTAAAGGTGATCGTCCTCGGTGGTCCCGTCGATCTTGGTAGTCGCTGCTCGCATCGGTGCTGCTTCTGAGGTGGACTTGAGTGTTAAGAATCAGGAGGAGAAAAAACACACAGACACAATTAATCGTCGATTCCCCAGAAAATATGGGAAAATATGGGAAGTGGGGGGAAGACAAAAACTCAGAAAATATAGGAAAAGATGGGGAATTATTTTATTTGTGTGTATTTATCTGTGTGTTTGTGGGCCCCTTCAAAGAAAGGTATCATGGAGAACAGGATGTGGGGCCCATTCGTTTGCAGCGCCAAGCAACTCGGACGGTACACGCCCGTGCTGGGATTGGCGCGTCGTTGAATATTGCACCAGGCATCGCCCATGAAACAGGGGTCAAGTAGATACGTTGTCTTTTCGCACGACAGCGTCGAAGGATGGTACAAGAGAGCAAAGAGCCACCCCCACGCAGGCCGTTTCAGCCGCGAAGCCCACGCAGGCAGGCGGAGGGTGAGTGAGTGAAAGATGAGCAGCGGGACGCGGAGAAGGATAGGGAAGGGGTGAGAAGGAGGAGGAGGAGAAGAAGGAGAAAGAGAAGTAGGAAGAGGAAGAGGAGAGGGAGAGAGGGAGGGAGAGAGAGTGGCAACGAACGCGCGCGCCTATCCGACCCCCCCCTCAAGAGGAATGTGGGCGGTAGGATGCTCCTGTGCGCGCTTGCGATGTTCGTGTCCCCTTCCCCACACCTCCCACACCCCCGCGCGCACCTGCCTCGGCTGCGCCCGAGAGTCAGCCCCCTCTTCGCTTCCACCCCCACGCCGCCCCCTTAGCAGGGGGAAGCGTGCTTTCGTCGCATCCCAACGGGCACCTCGCCGTGCGATCCAAGGGTAACCGGGTCTCGGTCCGCGACCACGGCGCTACAAGCGGCGCGACAGGTCACATGCCGCGCGCGTCCCACGCGGGGGGTTCGCTCTGCGCAGCGGTCGCCACGCGACCACTCCAACGGAGTAGATGGGAGGGTCTAGCTTCGCGATTATGGGTAGCGGGGTCTCGCTCCACGATCAGGGCATAGCGCATCGCTGCGCGATTGGTTATACGCCAAGCGCGTCGCGCGCGCGGAGGTCGCGCTCCGCGAAGCGATCGCTACGCGACCTCCGCCAGGGAGGGGCGGGAGGGTCTGCCTCACAAACTATGCAGGGACTTTTCGGGATCCCTCCAGCCGTGGCAGGATTCCTCGAGCGCTCGACCACCATCATATTCTTTCGAGGCTTCTCATGATTTGTCAAAGTTCCACACGTCTCACCCGGCGGTGTCGCAGTTGCGTCGCATGTGCTGGCATCCCGCTACGCGACCACCGCGCGGGGTGGGGTGGGGGTCTGCATGAAACGATGGAGGCTTTCTCGGGTTCCTTCGGGCTGCATCAGGACCCGAGATGCCCAAGAACCATCAGGTGTTCTCGTGGTGCCCATGACTCTTGAGGGTTCCACGCGGTTCCTCTGGCGGCGTCGCAATTGCATCGCGTCTGCTGACGTCCCGCTACGCGACGACGCTTCCAGGCGCTCCCAGGCGCTCTCGAGCGTCCCCAGGCGCTCCCAAGCGCTCCCAAGTGCTCCCAGGCGCCCCAAAATGTTCGCTCCGAAACGTTCCCAGGTGTTCCCTCGCGCTCTTCGGCGCGCCCACGCCCCAGTGAACGCTCCCAGGCGCCCTCACTGGTTCCGAGTGACCCTCAGGCTCTCGGAGGCCGTCTTGGCGGCGCCTTTCACGAGGGATTGCCTCCTCGGCAGCGCATAGCATGTGGCATTTACACAGGACCGTGGCCTCGAGAGCGACGACCCTACGGCTCGCTGTTTACCAGAGATCGCAGCCCCGGGAGCGCAGGTCGCATGTTCTCTGCCAGAAGCCGACGCCTCGGGAGCACCCTACCCGTCTTTCACGACTGACCGCGGCCTCGAGGGAGCGCCTCGTGTCTTTCGATGGCGAGGAGGCACCGCTTCTGCCAAAGCGCCGGGGGAGCTTCTAAGAGCTCCAAACGAGGAGTCCGAGCTTGTGGGATGCTCGAGCGAGACCCTGAACCCATTACAGACCAAAAGTTATCCAGAGAGGGAGTCATCACTTCTGTGCTACGCACTTGGGTTAAGTTGGGCCTGTCCCTCTACAGGGGGAATGTTCAAAAATAGTCAAAACGTAGTCTGGGAACTATTTTGTAGCATTTTGGGGTATATTTTGATTATGTTTTGAATATTTCATATTTTTCGTCCAAAATTCCCCTGTAGGGGGACAGGCCCGACCTAGCCGCAGCCCGCCTTCCGCACCGCTCCGAGGCGGGCGAGCGAACTCTCGCCCGCCGACGTGGTGCACCTGGCGCTTCGCTGCACGCTCCAGTCATCAGATGTTCGCTGCCCGGCGAAAGTCCGAGGTGGCGCTCGCTCTGGAGAGAGTGGCGGAGGGACACCG